TCATAGAACTTAAAAGAATTAACATGAACTATAGTATATATTTGCCTTCTTTTAACAGTGAAATATACACAAAACTAAATATGCGTCATATAATGTAAAAGAAATGTGATATTCAGTTTACTGAATTCTTATTAAAACTGGTAAGATATACATGTATATATATTTTGTATTGAATAAACCGTTTAATAAATTAAACATAATTCAATTTCACAATATTATTTATGTAAAACGCAAGAAAATCTCGAATATTTTTCCGCCATTCCCTATTGAAACATAAGTACAGAAGAACTTAGTATCAAAATTGAAGCACATACAGACAAATAATATATAGATTCCGAATGCAGAACTAAAAATGATTCCACTAATATCATAGCAGGCAGATCGAATAGCTAGAAAGGCACATATAAGCTTTGGATTGTAAAATTTAAATCAAAAGCTGCAGATAACTAATGACCTTAATGAGGGTATGTATTATACGTATGAGAGAGTGTATTATATAGTATAGAAATTGGTGCTATATTTTCGTTTCATATTGTTGCACAGCAATTCTGGTAAAGATCGTTAGAAGTTTATCGCAAGATCTTTTTAAAATCGACCGGAAACCGTTTGTAAGATTTTAGCTATTCTGGTGCAAGGCTTTCGAAAAAAGTTTTATCATTTGTAATTTGTAATAAATAACAGTAATAAATAATTTGGTAACATAAAGCTTAAATTTAATTCTACAAATAAGTTCTTTACATATTTTTATATGTTAATTTTAAATTCAAATTATTCATATCAAATATTTTTTATGGTTTTTTATGAATATCGTTTAATCAGTATGTTTACTCAAAAAGTGTTCACTCCGTAACTTTTGTCTTTTTTGACTAGAAATAGTTAAATTTAAATTTCAAAGTTATGATAATTTGAACAATAGACCTTAAATAAAGGAATCTGTGAAAAAACAGTGCCAGTGGACGGTGTTAATCAGTTTTTTTGTAATATAAAAAATTTTTGTTAATCAAATTAAATTTTAAGTTTGCAAAGAAATAATAAAACCAACACAAAAAAATCAAAATTAAGTTTTGCTCAAACAGCTGATAGAGACAGCATATGATCGAAAGTAAGAAATTATATTTGTAGTGTTGCCACAGTGTAACTTTCAAGAATTAAATTTAAACACATAAACAAATATTACATATTTATTTTTTCAACTATTTTACTAAAAGTAAAATAAAACAAACTTATATAAAAATAAATAAAAATAAATAAATTTACTTATTTATAAATTTGTAACAAGTGTATGAGTAATAGTGCTACACGGCGGCACTCTCAAATCAGTGAAAATGGCCTAAACAGCTATGTAATGCTTACTTCAGACGACATTAAAATAAATAACCATCCAACAGCCAAACATCCAAACAAAACAATGTCCGAAGCAAATATAGCAAAAATAGCTAGTGAAATTGCCACAGCCAATAAAACCAATAAAATGAAACTAAATAATAACTCATCACAATCGCTAGGAAATGATCAACCTACGAACTCGATGCAGTCCCTTAAGATTAATGAGCTTGAAGACAGCATTAAACATCTTACAGAAAAGATCAAGTCATTAGAAAAAGGTTGCGAATCTCTACTAAGAGAAAATGAAAAGCTTAAAGCTGAAAAAAATATATAGTTTCTGTTCATATGATTAATTTGTGTGCTTGTTTTGTGAACGAGACGTAAGAAGTTGCGAGTGTCATTTTTTGTGTTTGTATTTGTAAACTTTGGTTCTTTTGGTTTAAATGCATAGCGAGGAAATGGCGTTCAATGGTTGTCAGCTACGGCGAAGAGTTGTTCGTTTTGAGGTTCTAGACAACCCTGACGCTGATAATCAGGAAGAAACATCAGAACATGCGGAATTAATTAAAGAAAGTAAAATTCCTAAACCACCACCAATATTTGTAGCGGGTGTTGGTAACATTCAACCATTGCGGGCACTGCTAAATGATGTGGCTCCAAATGAGTTTGTACTCAAAATTTTAGGTAATAATGAAGTCAAAATACAGCCCAACACAGCGGATATCTACTCAAAAGTTACCAAAGCTCTTGCAGAAAAGCAGACGGAATTTCATACTTACAAACTAAAGCAAGATAGAAGCTTTAATGTAGTGTTGAGGGGCCTACATCCATCAATACCTATTGAATTTAGGCCATGAAGTAGTCAATATCAGTAACATTCGACATCGTGTTACAAAAAAACCACTTCCTCTGTTTTTCGTTGGACTAAAGCCCTCAGACAAGGTGAAAACAATTTACAACTGTACTGACTTGCTGCACACAAAAATTTCCATTGAAGCGCCTAAAAAGAAGCGCGAATTGCCGCAATGCACTCGGTGCCAACGATGTGGTCATACAAAACATTTTTGTAATCGTATGCCACGCTGTGTTAAATGCCCTGAAAACCACTTATCCTTAGATTGTCCTCGCAAATCCTCGTAATGATGTATGGTGTGTTCTTTGTGAAGGTAATCACCCGGCTAACTATATGGGGTGCACAGTTTACAAACAACTCCAGAAAAAAGCGTTTCCAGCCCTACGTAGAAAAATAACAACTGATACAGAAAGGCAACAGAACACCAAATTGAATGTAACAAGCCAAACGTATGCAAATGTTGTTAAATCTAACAATATAAACACTCAAGAGCACGTAAACTCAGCTCAGCAAAACGATTTTCCTGAGCTTAAATCAATGCTCAAAACGGTTATGGAACAAATGAGCTCTATGCTCAACCTCCTAACCGCATTTGTCGCTAATACATCCAAATAATGAGTAGTCTAAATATAGCTATTTGGAACGCTAACGGGCTGACCCAACACATTTGCGAAATTAAGACTTTTCTTCTTGACAAAAACATTGATGTTATGCTTATTAGTGAAACTCACTTTACATCAAGAAGTTATCTGAGGCTTCCATATTACACAATGTACAACGCAAACCATCCTTCTGGTAACGCCCGTGGTGGCGCAGCAATAATCATAAAAAATAATATTGACCACTCATTTCTCACCAATCATAATGAAGACTATCTACAATCAACATATCAGTACGAGATATATATGGTGAAATAACTATTGCCTCTATATACTGTCCACCTAATCAACCAATTAAAAGTCATCAATTCGCAAATTATTTCAAAACGCTCGGGCCCAATTTCGTAGCAGCAGGTGACTTTAACGCCAAGCATACTCATTGGGGCTCAAGATTAATAACACCCAGAGGACGCGAGCTATTAAAAACGATACAAGAAAGCAACCTATTTCACCTTTCTACTGGCGAACCCACTTACTGGCCGACAGATCTAAATAAAACACCAGATGTCATTGACTTTTGCATTTGTAAGGGTGTACCCATAAATAATCTAACCTTGCGGTCGTCGTTAGATCTTTCGTCTGACCACTCTCCTCTTCTGTTAGAAATTCATTCGAATATCGTTTTAAAAACTCCAGAACTTAGACTTCACAACAAAAGAACTGATTGGGCTATTTTCCGTAGTTACATTAGCGAACACCTCTCGACACATATTCCTCTTAAAACTAATCATGACATTGAAGCCGCAGTAGAACAATTCAACAAAATTGTACAAAAGGCAGCTTGGTCTGCAACTCCGTCTACACAGAATTGTAGGACTGTACATCTAGACAAGGATATCAAAGAACAACTACTTGAAAAACGTAAATTACGTAGGGTTTGGCAGATGACGAGAGATCCTAACGATAAGAGGCGCCTGAATGTAGCCACTAAAAAACTCAAAATAAATCTAGAGGCAAGAAAAAATGCAAGCATTGCAACTTACTTAGCAAGCTTGTCTCCCTCTGAGGCCACTGAGTACTCCTTGTGGAAAGCCACACGCATACTTAATGCACCAACATCGCATATACCACCAATAAAGATGAGTAATGGGCAATGGGCTAAAACTGATGCTGATAAAGCGAAAACTTTTGCAGTGCATCTTGGTAAAGTCTTTCAGCCACGCTGCTCAAAAAATAATCTGAAAGACTCTGAAGTTGAAGCTTTTCTTCACACACCGCATCAATTAGACTTTCCTATTCCTAGGTCTTTGACTCGTGAATTAAAGTGGGTCATAAAAAACAAAATTAAAACCAGAAAAGCTCCAGGATATGATCTGATAACCGGAAAGGTGCTACATGAGCTACCAGATGTGGGTTTTAAATTCATAAACCAATTGTTCAATGCAATTTGCACCTGTGAACACTACCCAGCTCAATGGAAAGTCGCTCAAATTATATTAATTCCAAAACCCGGAAAGCCCGTCGAACTTGCAACATCTTACAGACCGATCAGCTTACTTCCTGTGTTGTCAAAAGTATTTGAGAGAGTATTCCTAAAACGTCTAAAGCCAGTTATCGAAAATAGATGTCTGATTCCCAACCACCAATTCGGGTTTCGCGAACATCACTCTACCATTGAACAAGTAAATAGAGTATACAACTTTGCAAGACTTGCATTGGAAAATAAAGAATACTGCACAGCAGCCTTTATCGACATAACACAAGCATTCAATAAAGTATGGCACACTGGACTTCTCTACAAATTAAAGTTACAACTCCCGCATAGCTACTTCTCCGTCTTAAAATCATATATACTAGATCGGCACTTTATGGTTAAAATGAATAGCTGTCACACTGAACTTTTTCAAATAGAGGCTGGAGTTCCCCAAGGAAGTGTGTTGGGTCCTACTCTATATACTCTGTTCACAGCAGATCTCCCACTCAGGGCTAAAACATACACTGCAACATTTGCGGATGATACTGTAGTGATGGCGAAACACGCAGATCCTGTAGTAGCTTCACAACTTTTGCAAAGTAATCTGAACGATGTCAACGCATGGCTAGACATTTGGCACATTGAAGCTAACGATAACAAATCAGTTCAAACTACTTTTACACTCCGCCACGGTACCTGCCCTTCCGTTAGACTGAATGGCCGTGAATTGCCGCAAGCTGAAAACGCCAAATATCTAGGTGTACATTTTGATCGCCGTCTAAATTGGCGTCACCACATCTTTACAAAACGGAAGCAGTTAGGACTAAAGCTACGCTCACTTTACTGGCTACTTAATCCCAAATCCAAATTATCGCTACAAAATAAAATACTTTTATACAAGGTCGTCTTAAAGCCAATCTGGACGTACGGTATACCCATCTGGGGTATAGCAGCGAAGTCAAACCTAGATATGATTCAGAGGTTTCAATCAAAAATACTACGTATCTGCGCCAACGCCCCATGGTTTATCCCGAATAACGTCCTACATCATGATCTTGGCATCCCTACTGTGTACGAGTCAATACAGCAGATAAGCAGCAACTATCACTCACGACTGGTAGTTCATCCTAACCCCCTTGCCGCAGGCCTAACGAGGGATGCTTTTAACATTCGTAGATTAATACGCTATGCAACTTCGGATTTGCCGAGCAGATTCTAAAAATTGTAATTCTTCATAAGGCGGTGATTACCACTGGGTAGTCCCGTACATGCCAATCTTATATTGTTATTGCCATAAGTAGTACTTATTATTCATGAATAGAATAGATTGTATTTAATAAAATGAAGTTTAAAAAAAAAAAAAAAAAAATTTGTAATTTGTGATAGAAAGTTTTTTTGTTCTATTTCTTATATGGTGAAATCAAAAACAGCTGCTAATCGTCACTGAAAGCCGTAAGAGGCATATTCCATTATTATAATTATTTATACATAAATAATTATTTCCTGAATTAAGCGCTGACTTGAAGAAAGTAACAACAGCTATTGCTGCTTATTTTTTTAAATAAATGATAATGAATGTATTATATTGTACTGCTATTTGCCGCAGTATTGTGAACTATTTCCGTTGCTCCGAACGAAGTCATTTGGAAGCATGAATTAAATATGCGAATGGACTTCAGGAACAGATTTGAATCTTCATGCGTGCCAATGAGCAAGCCGTGCAATGGTTCTGGTAGTCTATCAATTTCTGGTAGTTGCACTTTTTCTGATGCGCAACACAACCTGTCTGATTCTTAATAAGGGCATTCTTTGTCCATAGAACCAATCATCACTTTAGGATGTCGAACGCAAAACGAAAGAAACGAAGTGGATGTAAATGCTCGATGTACTTGTTGGCGTAGTTATATAAAATAATAAAAAAAATGTTTTCTTTTTCAAATATATAAAAAAAAATTTATATCAAAAAATTAAAAAAATTTGCAGTATTGTCCTATTATATTGGATACTTGTGTGATTTATATGGAGACGATTTTCTGTTTTACATTCTTATGTTTTTTGACTTTTGATGCTTCGACACGAAAGGACAATCAGTAAAGTGAATTTTTTTGTTTTTATGTTCACAACATTTTATTTCTTTTTGGATAATGAGGAAATAGAGTGAAAAGGGATCACGTACTTATAATTGTTGCTATATTTTCGATTTATATTGTTGATTTCCCTCACAAATATGAATTTACTATCGCTTGAAAAAGTAATATATACCCATATTTGAATATTTCTGGACATATCAAGGAAAACTTGACAAAATTGTGGACCTCCAGAGTGTGCTATCATGTTTCGATTTAACTGAAGTTTATTAATGTTTGAAAAGTACTTAGCGTCTACATTATATATAAATATAACTCCATAATATAAATAACTCCCTGAGGTGAATATTTGCCAGTTATTTCGATTTTAAATTTTATATTTTTATGTTTTCTTGAGAAGAATGCATTATTTCCTTTCTTGTATTGCACTCCATTTGCTGTCTTCTTTTATGGTCCACGATCTAAGTACAGATCCAGAAGCATACAATTTAACGATTTGATGTTCATAACACATATTACTCTTGCAAATCATATCTTAAGTATTTGTATAGTTTCTTCGACAGGTTTCATAAATATGTATGCCTTTATATTCAATATGCATGGATTTCTCATTAACTCTTTCTGAAAAAAAATAACTTGCATTTTGCATATTTCGAAGAAAGTATCTGTCGGCTAATTAAAGATGTTCCAAACAAAACAGAGTCATAGGTTTTTGTAATTAAAACATCTGTCATATTTGAAGATGTTGGTAAGAGCTCAGTCATTGTTTCAAAACAATTGTCGCAAAATATGTTCAACTTTTTTTGTAACTTCAAGTACCAATACCCTGCAAAATAACGAATTGCGTTATCACTTATTGGGTTATCGAATTTTTCATTAATACTAACATTTTTTAATGGATCTACTTCGGATTCAGCAATATTAGTGTGCGAACTTCAGGAGCATATCTTTTATTAGAATCTTTGTATTGTCTGGTATTTAGAATACCGCATTCCAATCTAAATCAAAATACTGATTACACTCGTAAATGTTTGGATTACTTTCGTTAACATTTCGAGATCTTACTAATGAGACAAAACTTTCAACTTGATCTTGATTAAATTTTCAGAGATATATATAATACACCTCATTATGGAATGTGAAAATATTTGATAAAATTAGCAGAATTGTTCCATCCCATTAAAGCAATATATACTTTTGATTTAGTAGATTTCACCTAGGAAATGTAGGCCTCATTTCTAATAAAAATTGAATATTTTTATTGCCGCTTTCCTTTAATGGAAATTTTCCATTCTAATGTCTAATAAGCAGTCCATTTTTTGCAGCAACCAGTGGTTGACTTAGACGATGTTGTTATTCGTCTTTGAACTTATTGAAATATAAGAAAGTCTCAATACCAGCAGCAATATGGCTTATTATTTTTACAACAGCCGAACGCTTAACAAACCTTAGTTGCGCCTTGTCGATCCATATTATATAAGTTCTCAACGACCTGCTTAGAAATAATTCCATCTGGAGTAGCGATCAAAAGTCGACCACGAAAAGTCTTAAAAAGCTGTAACACATAATATTACGTCGAGTAAGTTTTTTCTTTGCAGCGAAATGTCGGCTTAAATTGAGAAAATCCAAGAATATTAAACAATCTATGATTAATAAGACCTTTAATCCAATGAGCTCCGAAATGTCTGTACATTTAAATAATTATTTTCTTAAGTCTTTTTTCTGCATTTTTTATGGACAAGCCACAGAATATAAAACCTATTTAAAGTTTCCACTTAAACTTCTTACCATAAAAAGCAGAATAGTCTTTGCTAAGTATGCTTTTCTTTCACCATTTGCACAGTTGGTAACCCGTCTATACGTTTCTGCAATTCATTACATATCAAAGCTTTTTGAACAAACAACTTATCAAAAATCCACTTTTAAATGAAAGACGTTTTCATAAATTTTTATTTTTATGAATTAAGTAACATTTCGATTTTTATAACAACCAAATTTATATTAATTTCATATTAATTTTTTTCAGGTATTTAATTTCCATTAGTAGTTTCGAAGCTCACTCATATGACATGTTTGAACTTTGCCTTTTACCTAATCTCTCAAGAACAGTCGCTGCTTTGTTAAGACCATTTATATATCTACCTTTTCACTTATCTGTATTCTCCCATAAGTATAAGACTTAAGATACTGCAGAGTTAAAAAATATAGCAAGTGATACCCCTCTTCCTTCTTTGGGGGCACTGTAAAAAAAGTCGACGTTGCGTTGCTTTTAAAAAGTAGCTTCTATTTTCTTCGTGTAACCTCTGCCTCCACAGACAATCTGCCTGCTGAGGTATTTAAAACTAATCCCCTAGTGCTAGCTGACACACTCCAACCTCTCTTTGTACAAAACTAGAATACTGAAGCTGTACCCCAAGAGTGAAATGATAGTCTGATTATCAAGATTCCTAAGAAGGGTGATAGAGGGACTGCAACAATTGACAAGGGATCTCGTTCATCTCTGTCGCTTACAAAATATTTAACAAAATTCTTTCAAACCACATTCTCGACCCAATCGACTGCCAACTCCGACAACAGCAAGCGGGTTTTAACCCTAATATATTTACCATGTGTTCAAATTTGAACATGTGTCTGCGCGCTAATTACCTAAGTAACATATTCAGTTATTTGGGTATTAAATATTTTAGCATTTTATTTAATATTTTAGTATTTTATTTTATATTTTAGTAAATTAAATTAATTTCTAACAAAGGTTTTTCAAAGCCTTAAAATATTTTTGTTACCAAGGTTCTTTTAGACATTAAAATATAAAATGTAATAACAGGGACTAGTTAATATAACTAAAGAAAAAGGAAGTAAGGACGTGTGTTTTTAGTTGTAGTTTCTTGCACACCATGTGATGATATTTATCTTATAGAATAATATGATAATTATAGAATAATAATTAATAATACTTTTCGATTTTACTGAATAGCTGAAACTCCAGTTTACATAAATCATCAAGGAAAATATTAAAAAAACACAAAAAATGGAAAATATAACTGACATAGTCAACATTGGTAAGTGTTTATATACTAGAATAAGTAATAATATGTTTTACTCAAATATATTTGCATTAGTTTATTAATTTACCCACGTATCAATAAGTTTTATCAAATTAAAAATATATGGCCTTATACATAAAAAGTTATAGTAGGTTTGTAATACATTTTATCAAAAACGTTATTCATAAATGTTATTTAACAATGTTATAAAGTATTTATAAAACTCTATTCATAAACGTTTAATAAAGTTAAAATGCTGTTATAAAATGTCAAAATTTATAATAGGTTCATACCTTCTATAACCAGTGAACGAAAATAAACAGTACAGTATCGTAGTGTACTGCTCATGTCCGAAACACATCAAAAAATTTTTAAAGTTTGTGTCCGCGAACACAAACTTTATTTTTAGAGTTTGTGTACTTTTAAAGAAGGTAGTGCTCATTATAACGATCTTTTTACGAAGGTACTGCTCATTTTAGTTATCTTTTGCCGATATTTTGCACAAATTTGTTATTCTTTTTTTCACCTGTTTTATATTTCATGGAAATGACTGATCTTTCTGGATAGAAATTAACTGAAGATTTTACCTAACACAAACAAGATGCACTTTGCATAGTCATTCGCGTCCCCCTCACTTGTTTACTTTTTCTATTTAAAAATCTTGCGTTTTTTATCAATTATTAGTTTGTCAAAGACATTATTTAGGTAATAAAATAATATGAGGCAACATTTTTCTGTCAAAATAATTGAAAATATATATTTAGCTTTCTACCTGCCTTTTATATTTACTTAGGAAAAATTTGCATATTAACTGACATGTATTGTTACAATAAAATCTATATATTCCTACGCAATAATCCAAATAAATAAACAGAAATTCTTAAAAAATTTTTATATTTTTTACCGAATTATATAAACAATTTTAAAATTTTGTTTTTTGCTTTTATTGGCATTATAAATATAATACAAATCATCCAACCGCAATAAAATATTTAATATATGTAATTCATTCCCTAATATTAAATATGCATCAATAAATGCATACACAATATCTTTATTTAAAAACACAAACAAAATACATGCAATACAAATGCAAACAAAATTTTTTCTTCTTCTTATGCAAACGAACCAACAACAATGCACATTAAAAACGTGTCCAAATCGTTTTGTTCGACAAACTCTAAAAAACCACTACCTTAGGAAAATGATCACTAAAAAGTACACTACCTTCGGCAAAAGATAACTAAAATGAGCACTACCTTCGTGAAAAGATCGTTATAATGAGCACTACCTTCGTGAAAAGTACAAAAACTCTAAAAATTGTTGAATTGTTTCGGACTTTTTTTAATGTACTACCTTCGTGAAAAGATCGTTATAATGAGCACTACCTTCGTGAAAAGTACAAAAACTCTAAAAATTGTTGAATTGTTTCGGACTTTTTTTAATGTACTGTTCGTTTAGTGTTTTTTAACAAAGATGACAAACAGTACACTATGTTTTGTACTTTGGTGTTTGTTTTCGTTCACTGTCTATAACAGCATTTTAAGCAAAATTTTTGGTTGTGTAGTAATTTTTATTGGCTCGTTACAATTAAATATGGATCCTATAAGCAAAATTATTGTGCAGGTTTTTTAAATGGAATAACCAATACATTTAACTGTTGATCATTTTTAGTCGAGCAAACCGGGCATACCACATAGTGACATAGTGAACGATGCGTTAGGCAAAATCAAAAACTTTATCATTTTTGTCATTATTATCTTTTTTTATCACCATTATTAGAACCATATGTTTAATCAATTATCGAATTAAACTACTTTTAGAATTAACGACAAATGTTTTTGTATATTCTACTTTTAGTCATTTTTTAATGGTATATATATAACACTACTGAAATTCTCACTTATGAACTAACTCAAAAATATCTATAAATCAGAAAACTAAATTCTAGTTTAATGTACTCCCTTCAATAGTTAACAAACCTATAAATAAATTATAATTCTAATATTATGAATAAAAATATCCAAAAGTTTTAAAACTATTTTAGTAACATGCAAGATCTTATTATTTTATACAGCATTTAACAATCCTAACATGAAAAAGAGCTCAATTGTACTGTTCATCGATTTTCATACCCTCTGTACCAGTGGCTTCCAAACGGAGGTCCGCGAGATCGTTAAAAATAGTCTGTAAATCAAATGTAATACAAATGGGTACATATCTTTGTCTACTGAGACCTCACGTTTTAGAAAATGAGCACAAAAAATCCAATATATATCGCAAAACGCGATATCTTCAACACGCCAAATGTGCCCTCTGACTTTTTTGCTTCAATACTTAATCATTTTTTGTACTAGAGCACAACTATTTTTCCTTAATTTAAACTGGCAGTTGTTCTTATTTCATATTGTTCCTTATAGTGCTGTAGAAAGGTTCATTCTTAATAGTTATGTAATTAACATTTGTTTTATAGTTATCAAAGGTTTATAAAATGTTTATGAATAAGGTACATTATAATGCCATTATAAAGTTAAAATACATTTTAACTAAAATGTATTTAAAAAGCATTTTAAGAAATTTTTATGAAGTAGGCCGATAATATTTAAACAAATAAAAATATTCGCTTTAGCTTAGTCGATACATTGATATCCTTCACACAGACAGTCAGATGTCAAATCGATTTACTATCATTTAACAGTACTTTGAATAAATGTCAGATAAAGTTTTCTAAATGTTAATGATTCCTAAACAGAGTGGAAAAAAGTCTGGGACTTTATAAACTATAAATATTATTCGTACAGGTTTCCGAAGAGCAGAAGAAAATATACCGATTGTTTTATAATCTATTTACTGTTAATATAAAAACCAGTATCTCAGTATTTACGCCAATCACCAGAAATTGGTTTTGAATTCAAACAAGCTAACTTTGAATGGACTTTGAATGGTCTTTGAATGGACTTATTGATACCATAGCATTTTTTCTTCAATTCTTTACTCTTTACTCTTGATAAAGTGTTTTAGCGTATTAAGAGAGCTTATTATTAGTTGTAATGCACTTTATTACTCAGTTTTGTGCTGTATACATCACGTCGCTCACCATTTTCCCAAGCAAAAGTTGAAATTCACACACACGCAGAGGACGATTTTTATTTCTTCTTTCCAGTCATCTCCCTGCGAAATCAAAGTAAGTCAGATATTATTAGAGACCGTTGTAGTCAGGTTGATTTTTATGTTTGATTTTTTAAGTACAGAGGTGTTTACACTGTAAGCAAATAAAGGATTCCAACTCTTAGGTGTACAAAGAGTTATTGGAAACACTAATGCTTCTTTATGTTAGCATTCACATATTTTCAGATTAACTTTTCCTTATTTTCAAGAATTTTGTACTTGTACGATGTATAGGATTTTAAATTTTTTCGAAATTACGACTGTAGTTTCAATTGAATAGAAACCGAACTATTAAATTTAATAGTTATTTATCCAGATGTCTGTTTAGGTCGCCACATCGGATTCGTTACTACTTAGTTGTTCAATTAACATGCACTAACTCTTTTTGAACGTCTTCATTTCTAGTCCATAGTGTCGACTTTTCCATCAGTAGGATTGAATTTTTTTTCAAAGCACTGGCACTAATACTTCTTTCATATTAGTGAAGAAATGCATAGATTTGATGCAAAATATGAAGACTTACCTATGTGTTTCAACATTACAGTACAGTACAGTATGCCGTTGCCAAAGTCTTCTAGCTTTTCTTTTCCGTTTTAATAATACCTCTATCGTTTTTGTCACACCCATTTTTTAGGTTGTTTTTTCAATTCTTATCGAATCTACTTCAGCACCCATTGAGATTACTTTAGAAAATTGATTAACACAATTATTAATTTCATTATTCACTTTGAACTAAGCATGTTGTGGTATATGACTAGAAACATATTTACGAAATTTTAACCAGTTTACATATTTCGTCAGACTTTGCGTTTGGATAGTTCTATTCTGTTGACATTGTACCGTTATTATTTTTGGTGAGTGGTCTGATGACTGTTCAACTGATGGAAATGCGGTGATTGTTGATAGTTTAATAGTTTTGCTTAGACCAAAGTCAATAAGGTCTGGGACTTTTTGTCGATCAGAAGGCCTGTCAAGTGAGTTGCCTGTCCAGTTAAAATGACATCGAGATCTTCACTTTTCACAACTGCTAGAAATATCCGTCTTCTTGGTGTTATTAGTCTTGAACCTTAGAATGAAATTTATAACTGAGTCTTTTAAAATAGTTTTGGAAGTCTTGAACTTTTATATTGTAGTTGGGTGGACAATATATTGCAGCTATTACGACTTTTTCTCCGTATTCATCAAATCGGATATATAAGTGAAAATAATTTTGTAATTAAATAATTAATAACTGAAATTTATTTAATTAAGTCTTCAACAAAGCTAAAGACAATTTTTTTTTTTTTATTTTATAATTTTAGTTTGAATGGAAATAATTTGTAATTAAATTTGCTGTTATGTTAAAATAAAACTTGTATTATTAAAAGATTTTTTTGCATGTATTATTTTGTGTTTAACATCAATTCATACTATAAAATTTTAATATTTACCTAAACATTTTCCTACTGTATAGATCAGACATATCAACAACCTATTCAATCTTCAACGAATGTATCACACGAAACTGCAATTCGGAATGTGCTTGAGAATGCATTTAACTCGCAGACCGAAGCTTATAATGATGAAAAGGAGCGTATTAAAGTTATTATTATTGAAGAAATTACAGAGCGCAAGTCCAACTTACTTCAAGTTAAAAATTGTATAGAGAGGGAATATGAGAAATCTCTCAGTTCCATTGATAATGCATATATCGAACAAAAATACATGAAATACTGCACAGAGCTTTGGATGGAAAAAGTAACAGCCCTAGTACAAGCAACAACTGAGTGTAATGATACCAAACTAATTCAAACAATATTAAGTTCAATAGATAAAATTAAAACGTTAAGTGACATTCCTGAATCATTCAAGCAACTTGAATATTATAAAAATTTAGTAGATCATTATCATTTCATAAGTGAAAACAAGAAAAAAAATCTTATAAGT